AGTATTTTTGTAATTTTTTTATTAATTTGGATTACGTTTTGATATAATAATTAATATTCAAAGATCAACACGCAAAAAGTAAATAAAACCTTTAAAGCCGAACGAAAATAATATTTATTATATTAGGAAAAAAATAAAACAAACAAAAAATAGTAAAAATAATATTTTAAATTATAACTAGGATAATATTAAATATTTATTAAATTTTATTTTTTATTTTTTATTTTTATTATTTATTTATTTTTTTAATAATATGGAAATTCGGACTGTATCCTTTGTATTCGAACAACATTTTAGAGAGTGACTTATGAGATCTGACCTCGGAAACCCCTAAATAAATGTACAGTGAACAATGAATGGATTCTTCGGCATACTTTTTAGAAAGCGTTAATTCGAATAACTGCTACTTTTATTCAAAAAGCTCCCTGACTTCAACTCCCCAAATGAAAGTAGTATGATGATAAAGCTTTCAGGACTTCAACTCCCGGGTCTCGTCAAATTACACCTCTTCTTCTCCAAGCCTCAACTCTCTCTCTTTTTATATATATATATATATATATCTATTTTATCTATATAGATAGAAGAGAAGAGAGAGATTCTGATAAGCTCGGGAAGAAGTTTGAAAATCTTCAGCTCTACGATGCGCCGGCGGACGGAGTCGAGAGCTCTTCTGACGATCGTCGTCTTCCTGATTCTCTGCGGCCTGTCCTATGGTCGCTTCATTTCCGACCAATTCGATATAGTCTCCGATGGATTTTCCGCCTCCAGAGTGCCGGATTTCCTCCGCCTCCCCGCCGCCGAGGAGAACTGTGAGCAGTCGTACGGTTTTTTGCCGTGCACCTCCACCGCACTGGGGAACTTGTTCTTAATTGCGGTATACGGTTACCTAATGTACCTCGCCGCTACGTATCTCTCCACCGGAAGTGAGCTTCTCCTCGAGATTCTCGGCCCTGGAATTGTCGGCGGCCTCTTCCTCCCAATCCTCGGTGCACTTCCGGATGCTATGCTTATTCTAGGTATTCTCTCTCTCTCTCTGTATTTATATATATATATGTATGTATGTATAGATTGATTTATGCATCAATGGATGTTTGGTATGAAATTGGGGATTTTCACTTTGCGTAGGGATCAATTTACCGATTTATGCTTTTGAATTTCAGTGTCCGGTCTTTCTGGAAGCGCAGAAACTGCTCAAAGCCAAGTGTCCGTTGGAATGGGGCTTCTAGCAGGTTCAACAGTTATGCTTCTGACTGCAATTTGGGGAACCTGTATAATCGTTGGCAAGTGTGATGTTGAAAATGGTGTCGCAATCGATTCGAGAGACACAAAAGCCTTTAGTCTAACTGGTTTGTCGTCTCCCTTGTCTCTTCCAATTTCTACTCTTAAATTAGTCCTTTCAATGTTGACATTTCGCCCGACACAATCCTCACCGTCTAATCTGATATGTTCCTCCTCCGCCTGATCTACCAAATCTGCTACAGTTCGTCTCAAGGCACTGTAGGTTGAAATAGTTGCATCTCTTTCGATGTGTTGCCAAATTTGAATTCTGCAATCCACGAGAAATCACAGATCTGTTCATAAACTTCGATAAACATTAACTTGAAAATGAAATCAGTAACTTCAATCACCGAATTTCTCTTTGATTTCTAACTAATGTTTAACATCTTTACCTAATTTCACTTGTCGCTGCAGGCTCCGGAATCACCACAGATGTGTACACAAGCTACGCAGGCATTATTATGGCGATTTCAGTGATTCCATTCGTAATAGTTCAGTTGCCGCAGATATTGCATTCGAATTCGGGACGGCACTTGGCTGTCTTGATTAGCCTTGTTGTTTCCGTTTCACTTCTCATCTCTTACTGCCTTTACCAGGTACATTACACATCTTCCCAATTTGTTCCATCTTGTTCTTCCACCATCATCTAATCTCCATCCTTTCACAAACTTTCCGCGCAGGTGTTCCAGCCATGGATTCAGAGGAGGCGACTAGCGTACACGAAGCACAAGCACGTCATGTCCGGAATCCTCAAACATTTGAAAAAACGCGCACTCGGTAGGCTTTCCAGGGAAGACGGCAGGCCTAATGAAGACGTCCTCAGAGAGTGAGTTTCATTTCATGATTCATCCTAATTCAGCTCCCTTCGGTTATTATCATCGATCATCTCTCTTACATGTACGCTGCAGCCTGTTCGAAGCCATTGACGAAAACAAGGATGGGTACCTATCATACTCGGAGCTAAAAGCTCTGATCGTAGGAATTCACTTCAATGAGTTTGATATGGATCCAAATGACGCTGTTGCCAAAGTGCTCAAGGATTTCGACACATCTCAGGACATGAGAATCGATATCGATGAGTTCATTTCCGGAATTGGGGGATGGCTGACCGAGGCCAGGGGTGCTACCACAGTTTCAAATCATGCTGATTCAATGAAGTATATCGATGAATTTCACACGGTATGAACATTTTTCTATGTTCTTCGATACCATCGAGAAAACACACCCCTGCACGTATAACTTAATGTTTTGCTACTCAAGATTTGAATTTATTTATACTCATCAGCAAACAAAGAGGGAACACGATCAGTTGGGAGAACAAAACGACGAGACTGTTGAGGCTGTTGATAATCCCCGTTGGATTTCAACTAAAGCCGGGCTGCTACTGCTGCTTGGAACTGCCATTGCAGCTGCCTTTGCAGACCCGTTGGTTGATGCAGTCGATAACTTCTCCAGCGCCACAAACACCCCGACTTTCTTCATATCCTTCATCGTGCTGCCATTGGCTACCAACTCCAGCGAGGCAGTGTCTGCTATCATATTTGCCAGCAGGAAGAAGATCAGATCTGCTTCCTTGACATTTTCCGAGGTAATATTTTGCAAATTATTTCAATTTCAATCATACAAAGATCTTTTACAATGAACATGAGTAGGCTTCAAGTTTCCATGATCTTGTGGTATCAAAATATAAGGGAAAAAAATGTTAGAACTTTTCGCCTGTTTCATGTGTCACACCCTTTAAATGGTATTCTCTTTTATTTTGGTCCTGTAAGTGTTACTGCATTGATCATTTTAGTCGTATATGATATGCTAGAAGAGAAATATAGTCTTATATTTCATTTGTTGCCGATCTAATAGTCTTGTTAGGCTTATAAAAGATTATTAGAGTGACAAAACAATTAGATATAAATATGTTTGATTATCTTTATATGATATGCTGACCCGCACTATGCTGATTTGATTAGATCAGCATCGGATCTGCAACCATACAAAGATTTATTTCCATGTCATTTACAAGATCAAAATTACACGTTTCAAAAAACACTTGTACTCAGATCTAACTAACATCTTCGTTATCTATCTGTGATTTCAGTTGTATGGCGCGGTGACCATGAACAACGTCCTCTGCCTATCGGTGTTCTTAGCTCTGGTATACATAAGGGGGCTGGTTTGGGACTTCACGTCCGAAGTGTTGGTCATTCTAATCGTGTGTGTCGTGATGGGCGTGTTCGCCAGTGTTCGCACAACTTTCCCTCTTTGGACTTCCCTATTTGCGTTTGCTCTCTACCCCTTGTCCCTCGCCCTCGTCTATGTCCTTGACTATGTCTTTGGCTGGTCTTAATCTTCCTTCTTAGGACAATCCACATTAACCTTATTCACTTTTTACACTGATTTTGAAGAAGATGCAATGCTAATGTGGTATGTGATGTGTATACATACATACATACATATTTACCTTAGCCTTTTCTGTATGCAAGTTCAAGTTTTGAATGGTTTTATATAATGTGGGGATTAATACAGTACCCCTTTTGGTCTTGGAACTTTATAGTGTTTGATAATCATAAGCCTTTTATGTGAGATTCAGTCCAAAATTGTGACTCTGTAATTTAGGTGATCTCCTACCTACAAATTTCATTTATATATATTTAACTTTAATAATGTAGTTGTTACCATAATTTTATTCTAACACATTTTATTTTTCACTTAAAAAATATTTAAAATAAATAATAGGAAAATAAAAAGAGAGCAATGCAAAAATGTAAGCTATATCAATCTCTCGAGCGCCATTGACTGACGGTGCTCAATTGGAGATGGCTTTATAACATGGGATCTAAACTCATTAGATCCAAAATTGTTGAACTACATTCTTATTGTGCCAAAATTTTGGCATTGATCTAATGTAGTGTTTTTATGATATAATAATCTTGATTCTTAAGTATTCTATACCATCAAACCAATTTTGGATGGAATAAACAAGATATGTAAAGTCAAATGATAACCATAGAATATCATTCTAATCGAAATGCATACAATTGTTTTATGCACCATGATCTACCTTTAAGTTCACTTTGAATTATTGATTTATGTAATTGAAAATTTGATTATTGATATAATTTGAGTACATCCGAAACTGTGACCATTTCAAATATCATATCCCCAAAAGTCGCTCTCAATTCAAGATGTGAATGCAAATTGTATTTACACATATCACCAACGTCGATGTGATGTAGCATAGTTTACTACCATATATGTATTCATACCTCCACCTATATATATATATATATGGGTTTTGAATGAAATAAACTTACCCCACAATTTCACTCATCTCTCTCTCAAATTTTCTCCTACACAACATACATTTAATACATAACATATATACATACACATATAATAATTACACATAATCATTACACTTTCGTCCGTTACATACACACAACATATATACATATATCATATTATATTATATTATATTATATATATATTATATACAATATATAAAATAGTGGTTAGCGGTAGAGATAATTAATATTTTTATTGACTATTCCTATAATAATATCACAACACGTTATCAGCACGATTATATATTTAATTTCCATAAGGTAATATTTTATCTTTATTTGTTTATTATGACTAACCTTGCCAAATAGGAATTTCTCCCTCTCCTCGTTTCAGGCCAAAATTATATGACATGGGCTCGTGACGTGAAAATGCATTTAGTATCAATGGGCTTGGAAAATACCATTTCCCGGGATAAAAATTCCCCGAGCCAAGATCGTGCAAAGGCCATGATCTTTTTGTACCATCACATCGATGACGGACTGAAAATGCAGTATGTCACGTTGGTATCCCCACTTGAATTGTGGGAGAGATTGAAAGAAATATACGATCACTTGAGACTGACATTGTTGCCAAGGGCACGAAGCGAATGGCAAAACCTACGGCTTCAGGATCCAGTCAAAGAAGATAATTCTGTCATGTTTAAAATAACATTACAGTTGCGCCACTGTGGCGAAAATATATCTGAATCTGATATGATGGAGAAAACTTTCTCCATTTTTCATGCCTCTAACATGGTTTTGCAGCAGCAGTATCGCGAAAGAGGCTTCCAGAAATATTCGGAGCTGATCACCTTTTTTTTGCTGGCCGAACAAAATAACGAATTGCTGTTGAAAAATCACGAATCTCGGCCGACAGGTGCAAATCCATTTTCAGAGGCAAATGCAATACAGCCGGCAAATCCGGTGCGTGGTCGTGGGCAAGTCAGAAATCAGCGAATTGATCACGATCAAAATGATAATCGCAAACGGGGCCAGACAAACATATACATTCACAATAATTATCAAAACAAACCCCGATATGTGCCAAATCGGTGTTATAATGACAGAAGGCCGTATAGACCTCAACAGAGGTTCAACACCGGGAGAAACAGAAACAATGACGAGGAATGCACCCGGTGTGGAATTAAAGGTCATTGGGCCCATATTTGTCGCACAGTCAGTCATTTGGCTGAACTGTATCGGGCCTCAAAAGAAATGCAGGGAAGAGTTGCTGCCGAAACAAATCATGCTGCCGCGATGACACTTTTGACGATGTTATGAATGAAAATATCACGCACCTAGATAGAGATGATCTACTTGACATAGCTGATGATGTTAAATGATGAAATGTTGTTGTATCTCTTTTGTTATTTTAATGTTTTCTGCCCATTTTTGTTTTTCCCCCCGTAATATAAGTCTATTTTAATTATATTACTAATACATGTCTTTTATTATTTTTACGTTTTTGCAAATATATGGATGCCAAATATTTGAGAGCCCATGACAATATCTGCCTTATCGACAGTGCTACAACTCACAGTATTTTGAAAAACAAATGTTATTTCTCCCACTTGAATATAGGAAATACCTCTATTGTTACTATCAGTGGTGCATCGAAAATGATTGAAGGCTCAGGAAAGGCTACTGTATTTCTCCCTAAAGGGACAAAAATGGCAATTCAAAATGCTATGTTCTTGAGCAAAGCTCGAAGGAATTTACTGAACTTCAGTGATATTTGGAAAAATGGATATCACATTGAAATATTGAATGAGGCAGAAAACGAGTATCTATTGATTATTCAGGTTGTGAATGGCAAAAGAATTGTGAGAGAAAAATTGCCATCATTTTCTTCCGGCTTGCATTATTCAAAAGTTAGTGCCGTTGAAATATATCACCTAGTAGACCAAATGGCTGTTAGCGAATTTAAAACTTGGCACGATCGACTTGGGTATCCTACCAATGTAACGCTGAGGCGAATTGTTGAAAATTCAATGGCCACTCATTGAAAAAGAAAAATATTTTGAGTCCGAATGAGTTTGCTTGTGCTGTCTGTTCCCAAGGGAAGTCAATAATCAGACCATCTCAAACAAAAGTTGGATTTAAATCCCCAGCTTTTCTAGAAAGAATTCAGGGTGATATTTGTGGACTAATAGATCCACCGTGTGGACCCTTCAAGTACTTTATAGTACTAATCAACGCGTCAACGCGATGGTCCCACGTATGCCTGTTATCTACTTGCAATCTAGCTTTTGCTAGACTACTCGCACAAATAATTAAATTGCGAGCACAATTTCCAGATCACCCGATAAAGAAAATACGTCTAGATAGTGCTAGAGAGTATTCATCACATACATTTGATGATTACTGCATGTCAATTGGGATTACTGTGGAACATCCTGTTCCCCATGTTTACACGCAAAATGGCATCGCTGAATCCTTTATCAAAAGATTGCAATTAATTGCTAGACCATTGTTAATGAGGTTTAAACTTTCCGTATTATGTTGGGGACATGCCATATTACATGCAACAACTCTCGCAAAAATAAGGCCGACAAGTTATTACTGTTATTCCCCACTCAATTGTATCTGGAAAAATACCAAATATATCTCACCTGCGAATATTTGGGTGTGCTGTTTATGTGCCAATTGCGCTACCCCAACACATGAAAATGAGACCTAAAAAAAGGTTGGGTATATATGTCGGGTATGAATCACCCTCGATTGCAAAATATCTTGAACCAACAACGGAGATTCATTGAATAAACGACAAGTATTCGACCCTATAGTCCAAACACTTACAAATGTAAAACCTGTTGGCTACAAATGAGTGTTTGTGAGAAAAAGAAATGAAAATAATGATATCACAAGATATAAAGCAATTTTTGTAGCCCAGGGTTTTTCCCAGATACCGGGCATTGATTTTGAAGAAACATATTCACCGGTCATGGATAAAATAGCATTCAGGTATCTGATGAGCCTAACAGTACACAATAATCTTGATATGTGATTAATGGATGTGGTTACTGCCTATTTTTACGGGTCCTTAGACAATGATGTCTATATGAAAATCCCAGAAGGAATTAACATACCTGAATCATTCAAATCAAAACCAAAAGAATTATATTCCATCAAATTACAAAAATCTTTGTATGGGCTCAAACAATCAGGCCGAATATGGTATAATTGTTTCAGCAAAAGGTTAACAAAAGAAGGTTGCATAAATGACCATATCTATCCATGTGTTTTCATAAATGGGTCAGAATTTGTAATCATCACTGTATATGTCGATGATCTCAATTTAATTTGAATTCCTGATGAAATCCAGAAAGCTGTTGAATATTTGAAAAAGAAGTTTGAGATTAAAGATTTTGGAAAAACCAAATTTTGTCTTGATTTGCAAATTGAGCACTTAGAAAGTGGAATCCTTATCCACCAATCAAATTATACCAAAAGGGTACTGAAACAATTTCTGATGGATAAGTCACATCCGCTAAGTACCCCAATAATCGTCAGAGCACTCAATCCAACAAAGGATCCATTTAGACCGAAAGAGGAAAATAAAAAAACACTTGGCCCAGAAGTGGCATATATGAGTGTTATAGGCGCATTGATGTATCTTGCTAATAGCATCCGACCTGACATATCAATTCCTGTAAATTTATTGGCAAGATTCAGCTTATCGCCTACTCGATGACATTGGAATGAAATTAAGTATATTTTTCGCTATCTTCAAGGAACAATTGATATCGGGCTATATTACTCGAAATATTCTCGACATGAACTGATTGGTTTTTCTGATGTAGGATATTTATTGATCCTCATAAACCAAGTTTCAAACTGGCTATTATTCACTTGTGGAGATCAATGAAACAAACTTTAACAGCCATTTCTTCAAATCATGCTGAAATATTGACAATACATGATGCTAGTCGAGAATGTGTTTGATTGAGGTCAATGACTCAACATATTCTGAAAAATTGTGGATTAATACCTGATGATAAGATTCTCCCAACTACATTGTATGAAGATAATACGGCTTGTATAGCCCAACTAAAAGGGGGTTACATTAAAGGAGATAGAACGAAACACATTTCACCAAAATTCTTTTTTACTCATGATCTTCAGCAGAATGGTGAAGTTGATGTGTAGCAAATTCGATCCGATAATAATTTAGCGGATATATTAACCAAGGCATTACCGAGTGCTACATTTGAAAAATTGGTAAAGAAAATTAGAATGCGTCGGTTTAGAAATCTCAAATTATGCTCAGATCAAGGAGAGCAAATAAATACAAGAATGTTGTACTCTTTTTCCTTCACTAGAATTTTTTTTCTCGCGGGATTTTTTTATAGTAAGGTTTTAACGAGATACATTCTCATACAAATGCATCCAAGGGGGAGTGTTGTACACGTATTCAAAATATGGATACAAATTGTATTTACACATATCACCAACGTCGATGTGATGTAGCATAGTTTACTACCATATATGTATCCATACCTCCAGCTATATATATGAGTTTTGAATGAAATAAATTTACCCCACCATTTCACTTAATCTTTCTTTCAAATTTTCTCCTACACAGCATACATTTAATACATAACATATATACATACACATATAATAATTATACATAATCATTACACTTTCATCCGTTACATACACACAACATATATACATATATCATATTATATTATATATTATATATATATATTATATAGTGGTTAGCGATAGAGATAATTAATATTTCTATTGACTATCCCTATAATAATATCACAACACTATTATATATAATCACTAATATATTTATTAACTTTATGTTTTATGTGTTCTATTTATATTGGGTGTTTTTTTATTTATTATTTAAAACTAAAAATTTTAATGACTAGTCTATACATCTTGAAATGAAAATATATTATTTTTTTAATAAAATTTTACATGAATTTATTATTTAAATATAAAAATAAAAATAAATTAAATTTCAACTCAAAATTAAACAACATAATGTATATCAGTTCAACTGTAACACCCTTAGTTAACTCATACTGGAAATGCTACCGCCACACTGCATCATGAGATCGCCACCTCCTACTTCGGGCCCCAAAATACAATGTTAAGGCTAAAATTAACTATAAAAATGCATTATTATATAACAAGATCTGATTTATGAATATTTACAAAACACACTCCTAAACAAGAGGTTTTTCCAGTTAAAAAGTTACATATAATACAATAGATGTAAGTTCACTCACTCAGTCCATCTTTCTATATCCCGAAACGTCCCCTATCCCGGAGGTGCCATGCATACCTGAAATACATATTTTTCTTAAAATCAGTCTAGAATTAAATCTATTTTAAGAACTAACGTGAAATATGTCATTTCATGCATTTTAAAATAAAGTCTAATTCCCGTCAATCATAAAATACGTGTCATGTCATGTCAATAGTGAAATGAAGCAACAAAGATACTAAACTCGACAACAATGCACATGCACATATATATATATACATCCGCCGAAGTGAGCAGCCGGAATAACCTCGACTCCATAATAATAGGCTCACTGCATCTGTCTAAGTGAGCAGTCATAATAACTTCGGCCCTGTAATAACAAGCTCACTGGACCATCATCAATAAATAGCCGGAAAATCATCGGCTCAATGAAGGACTTGATAAACCCATAATAATATAACGGTCATCCGGTCACTTCCATATACCCACTATACGACTCCCACAATCAATACATGGATAACCGAACGTTGTCGCTATTAACCACAAGACGCCCCATAGTCTGTGATAGCGAAGATATGACTCCCACTGACTAGCCCTATCCCGTGTAATATAATAGAATCTGTGCAACCTGGAATCACCCAAGGAAAACCGGAAACTCTACTCCTCCTCGCGCGCCCTAACAGGATCACGTTTGAAGTTTGGCATATGATCCTAAACTACCAGTAGACCTTACTAGTAGCTACTCCAGTGAGTGGAACAACATTGAACACGAATGATTAGACCAAGTACGTCTCAACTACCATGGGTCTAATCCATGCGACTAAGTCACCCAGTTGTCCGACTACCATTGTCCACTATCGCCAAAGTGATACGGTACATCGGGGTCGAATATCCTAACCCCATATGATGCCCTCGCCTAGCACTACTGCACATGACGACTAAACGATAGATCCATAAAACATAACCGATAAACTGTACAATATGTGTGCAACATGTCAAATAAGTGAATTTACCGAAAAGGGCTGGTGAGACAGCTCACCTATCCTATTTT